GTGATCGTTACTCATTATTTTGTGTTTTAGGGCCAAAAAATAGAATTCCATCTGATTCCCAAATTTTTGATGTTATACCCGCATCTTCTGCATGGCCCGGATGGCCAGATCCGGATCGCCAATAATTTGCCAGTCCCATAAAAAATGACCTAAGGAACAATAGTCATGGCATTGTCTCGCCATGACCGTTACTCATTTTTGGGATTTAAGGTCCATAATATTGGAATTTCACTCGATTATAAGCTTTTCATGTGCTATAGTCCACGCTTTCTGCATGGGCCGAGGCGGCCGGACCCCAATCGCCTAAAACTTTTCAGGCATATAAAAATGACCTAAGGAACAATAGTCACCGCCTCGCTATGACCTTTACTTGTTTATTAGCATTTACGGCCATAAAACTAGAATTTCACCTTATTTTCGGATTTTTGTATGCCCACGCCTTCTGCATGGGCCCGGGCAACCGGAACCAAATCGCTTAAAATTTTGACCGCCCATCAAAAATGACTTAAGGAAAAACACTCAACGCCTCGCCATGATTGTTACTCATTTTTGGATGTTTTATGGCTATAAAACTATAATTTCGCACGATTCCCATGTATTCGTGTGTTATCGCCAACATCTTCTGCATGGGCCCGGACTACCGGACCCAGATTGTCTAAAATTTTGTCGACTGATCAAAAATGACCTAAGAAACAATAGTCATCGCTTCTCCATGATCGTTACTCATTTTTTGTGTTAAGGCCAAAAACTGAAATTCAAACTGATTCTCAGATTTTCGTGTGCTATTGCCCACCCCTTCTTCATGGGCCCGGGCATCCAGACCCGGATCACAAAATTTTATCGACAAGTAAAAATGAATAATTGTCACCGCCTCGCCATGACCGTTATTCATTTTTAGCATTTTAAGGCCATAAAATTGGGATTCTGCCATATTCCAAGATTTTCGTGTGCTATGACCCATGCCTTCAACATGGCCCGAGCGACCGGACTCGGATCGCCTAAAATTTTCCTGTCCCATCATAAACGACCTAAGGAATAATAGTCATCATCTCCCCATGACCGTTACTCGTGTTTTGGCATTTTAGGGCAATAAAACTTTCGTGCGATTCTTAGATTTTTCTGGGCCTGGGCGACAGGATCTTGATCGCCTAAAATTTTGTCGGCTCATCAAGAATGACCTAAAGAACAATAGTCACCGCTTGTCCATGACCGTTATTCGTTTATTTGTGTTTTAGTGTCACAAAACTGGAATTCTGCCAGATTTTCAAATTTTTGTGTGCATAACCCACGCCTTCTGCATAAGCTCGGGCGACCGGACCAGTATCGCCTAAACTTTTACCGGTCCATAAAAAATGACCTAAGTAATAATCATCACTGCCTCTCCATGATCGTTACTTTCTTTTTTGCATTTTAGGGCCATAAAAATATAACTCCGTTTAATTTCCAGATTTTCGTGTGTTGTAGTCCATGCCACCTACATGCATTCGAGCGACCAGATTCGTCTAATATGTTGTTGGACTATCACAAACGACCTAAGGAACAATACTTGTCGCTTCGCCATGATCGTTCCTCATTTTTTGGCGTTTTAAGGCCATAAAACTAGAATTCTTTCCGATTCCTTAATTTTCGTGTGCTAGCGCACACCATCTGCATGCATCCGGGCGACCGGACCCGAATAGCCTAAAGTTTTTTTGGACCATCAAAAACGACCTAAGAAATAATAGTCGTCACTTCGCTATAGTTGTTCCTCGTTTTTAGCATTTTAGGGCCATAAAACTAGAACCTTCCCCCTCCCGATACCCAAATTTTCATGTGCCCCACGATTTCTGCATGTCCCCGGGCGACCGGACCCAAATAGCCTAAAATTTTGCCAGACCATCAAAAAAGACCTAAGGAACAATAACCACCGCCTCTCCATAGTCGTTCCTCGTTTTTTGACTTTTTAAGGCCATAAAACTGGAATGCCCCCCTCCCCCTCCCCTGATTGCCAAATTTTCGTGTGCTTGTATCCCACGACTTCTGCTTGGACCCGGGCGACCGGATTTAAATCTTCTAAAAATTTTCCAGACCATAAGAAATGATATAAGGAACAATAGTCATCATTTGTCCATGATTGTTCCTCTTTTTTGGCTTTTTAGGGCCATAAAACTGGAATTTCACCTGATTCCAAATTTTCGTATGCCGCCATTTGCATGCATCTGGGCGACAGGACCCAGATGCCTAAAATTTTTTGGCCCTTCATAAATGATCTAATGAACAATAGTTATCATTTCATCATGACCATTCCTTGTTTTTACGTTTTATAACCATAAAAAAGGAATCCGTCCGATTTCTAAATTTTCGTGTGAGCGACTTTATTTAGGTTAATTCTTCTAATTTTTATCGCCTTTCAACAAGTAGCAAAAAAATAATGAAGTTGTGTGCTTGGAATATAATGGAATTGCAATGACCATAGAAGATCATTTTTCATTAAAACATACATAAATTAACTTGGTACAAGGTCCAAAAACGATTGACGCGCCACACTTATTTAAAGTGTAACAAAAGGCTACTAAAAGCCAATTAGAACACAACATTAGCCACACTTTTAAGAAAGGCAGCACTTCATTACGTGTGACACTGCATCTTTAATTTCTTCTAATCTCTAATTAGTTATCCATTATCTCTTCTTCAAGCAAAGCTGCAGCCAAAGTTTTTGCTTCCTCACCCAAAGTTTCAGCTCCTGTTTTAGTCATCTTCTCATCAAATACACATGGCTTATAGCAAATGCACCTTCCGAGGATTTTTCTACAATGACCATCAGTAAATCCCTCACTTATTCAAGCTTTTCTGCATGGTGGATTGGTAATGCATAATCCAATGAATGTATTGTTTTCTGCTTTGCAATTAGCCTGAGCTTGCACCTCTACAATCATTCACATTTACTAACAAATATTAGAACAAAAGAAAAGATGGAATTGAAAGAAAGCTTTTAAACATGAATAAATTCACGGTTCATGAAGAAATATATTGAAAGGGAGTCTTGGAGCAACGGGTTCGAGCCGTGAAAGCAGTAAAATTAGTCACTAATGCTTGCATTAGAGAAAGTTGTCTACATCACAGCCGTTGGGTGCGGCCAGTAGCGGAAGTAAAATTTATGCTAAGGAGGTTAAAAAATGAAAAAGTTAAAAAAAAATTTAAAAAAGATTGTGGCTAGTGGAAATTAAACCAACAACCTTACAAAAGTTTTGAACCCCCTTGACCACTAAGATATGCGTTTAAACTCTGTTGAGAAAATTCAAACTATAAAATATAGAGGTTCAAATCGAATTTTGTCTTATATGTAAAGTATAATTCTCCTGCGTAGGGGGTTCCGCCCCCCTAAATCCGCCTCTGGGTGAGACCCTTTCTCGGACCAGGGTGGATGCGGCATGCTTTATGAACCAGACTGTCCTTTTTTTCTAAAGAAATATATTGTTCCTATACTATTTTGAAAGAACTAATGCAAACACGTACGTTTTTTCAGGATTTTTCAAAGCCGCCAGACGTATACTACAAAATAATTAGTCACTCTAACAACAAATACATCAAAAAAATGACCACACTTGAAAATTTACGCGGTAAAAGAAATTACTTGAAAAATTCAAAAGAAGTGTAACTTCATGTTCATTATCATAATTTAAACCACCCATGCAAATATAATTTATCTTTATTTTTCTTAAAAGAAGACTTGAGTAATTAAGTGATTGTATAGCAAAAAAAGAATTATGTTATAAATTATCTTTTATTATTTTTATGGGATTTTAGAGGAATAAATGGAGACAAACGATAGGCAACAAAGAGCATCATTCCCTCTCCATGATCGTTACTTTCTTTTTTTGCATTTTAGGGCCATAAAAATATAATTCCGTGTAATTTTCAGATTTTCGTGTGCTATAGTCCATGCCATCTGCATGCATTCAGGCGACCGGATCCGAATCGCCTAATATTTCGTTGGACTATCACAAACGACCTAAGGAACAATAGACGTCGCTTCGCCATGACCGTTCCTCATTTTTTGGCATTTTAAGGCAATAAAACTTGAATTCTTCCCGATTCCTTAATGTTCGTGTGCTAGCGCACACCATCTGCATGCATCTGGGCGACCGGACCCGAATAGCCTAAAGCTTTTTCGGACCATCAAAAACGACCTAAGGAATAATAGTTATCGCTTCGCTATAGTTGTTCCTCGTTTTTGGCGTTTTAGGGCCATAAAACTGGAACCTCCCCCATCTCGATTCCCAAATTTTCATGTGCGCCCACGATTTCTGCATGTCCCCTGGCGACCGGACCCAAATAGCCTAAAATTTTGCCAGATCGTCAAAAACGACCTAAGGAACTATAATTATCGCCTCTCCATAGTCGTTCCTCGTTTTTTTGGCTTTTTAAGGCCATAAAACTGGAACGCCCTCCCCCCTGATTGCCAAATTTTTATGTGCTGTAGCCAACGACATCTGCTTGGGCCCAGGCGACCGGACTCAAATCACCTAAAATTTTGCCGGACCATAATAAATGACCTGAGGAACAATAGTCAATTTCTCCATGATTGTTCCTCTTCTTTTGGCATTTTAGGGCCATAAAACTGAAATTCCACCCGATTCCAGATTTTCGTATGCCGCCATTTGCATGCATCTGGGCGACCAGACCCAGATGCCTAAAAATTTTTTGGCCCTTCATAAACGGCCTAATGAACAATAGTCATCGCTTTATCATGACCATTCCTTGTTTTTGCGTTTTAGAACCATAAAACATGAATCAGCCCGATTACCAGATTTTCGTGTGAGCGACTTTATTTAGGTTAATTCTTCTAATTTTTATCGCCTCTCAGCAAGGAGCAAGAAAATAATAAAGTTGTGTGCTTGTAATATAATTGAATTGCAATGACCATAGAAGATCATTTTTCATTAAAACATACATAAATTAACTTGGTACAAGGTCCAAAAAAGATTGACGTGCCACACTTATTTAAAGTGTAACAAAAGGCTACTAAAAGCGAATTAGAACACAACATTAACTACACTTTTAAGAAAGGCAGCACTTCATTACGTGTGACACTGCATCTTTAATTTCTTCTAATCTCTAATTAGTTATCCATTATCTCTTCTTCAAGCAAAGTTGCAGCCAAAGTTTTTGCTTCCTCACCCAAAGTTTCAGCTCCTGTTTTGATCATCTTCTCATCAAATACACTTGGCGTAGTGCATAGGCACCTTCTGAGGATTTTGCTACAATGACCATTAGTAAATCCCTCACAGATACAAGCTTTTCTGCATGGTGGTTTGGAAACGCATAATCCAGAGAAGGTGATGCTTTCTGCTTTGCATTCTCTAGCTTGCACCTCTATAATCATTCACATTTACTAACAAATGTTAGAACAAATTAAAAGAAAAGATGGAATTAAAAGAAAGCTTTTAAACATGAATAAATTAACGGTTCATGAAGAAATATATTGAAAGGAAGTCTTGGAGCAACGGGTTCGAGTCGTGAAATCAGTAAAATTAGTCACTAATGCTTGTATTAGAGAAGGTTGTCTACATCACAGCCATTGGGTGCGTCCAGTGGCGGAAGTAAAATTTCTGCTAAGGAGGTTAAAAAAAGAAAAAGTTAAAAAAAAAATTAAAAAGATTGTGGCTAGTGGGAATTAAACCAGCAACCTTACAAAAGTTTTGAACCCGTTGACCACTAAGCTATGCTTTTAGGCTCTGTTGAGTAGATTCAAAATATAAACTATAGAGGTTCAAATCGGATTTTGTCTTATATGTAAAGTATAATTCTCTGGCGTAGGGGGTTCTGCACCTTTTTTTCTAAAAAAATATATTATTCCTATACTATTTTGAAAGAACTAATGCAAACACGTACGTTTTTTTAGGATTTTTCAAAGCCGCCAGATGTATACTACAAAATAATTAGTCACTCTAACAACAAATACATCAAAAAGATGAGCACACTTGAAAATTTATGCGGTAAAAGAAATTACTTGAAAAATTCATAAGTGTAACTTCATGCTCATTATCATAATTTAAACCACTCATGCAAATATAATTTATCTTTATTTTGCTTAAAAGGAGACTTGGGTAATTAAGTAATTGTATAGCAAAAAATAGAATTATATTATAAATTATCTTTTATGGGATTTTAGAGGAATAAATGGAGACAAACCATAAGCAACAAAGAGCATCATTGCCAAGATAGCAAATGCCATGAAACACAAGGAGCGAGCCATAGTCTCTTTGAATGTGTAAAAAAGGATAGAAATTTTAATAATAAGAAAGATTGCAATTCTGATGTGTGTATGAGCAGTAACTCAACAGAGGTATTTATAGGCGCAGAACTAAGAGTAGACAAAAAAATAAAAATTGAAGCAAAAAAAAAAATGGAAATAAGAGAAGATAAATTTAGGCCAACAACGTGAAGCAAATTACTGCACTGGAGTTATTGGTAATTTTAAGTTTGGACTTTGGAGATACATATTTCTTTTTGTTTTTTTGGTCTCTCACCGGTTCCGAATTAGGACCTCAGCTAGTGTTGATTCGGCCCGTGTACAGATAAAAGTACTCCTTATAATATACTCATGACTTGAAATCGAAACTTCTATCTAAGGGTGAAGGAATTCGTTCTCAATTTTTTCCTAGTTACTGCAAGTAATAACGTGAAATTAATAAAGTAAAGAACGACACACAAACTTTTACGTGCAATATTACTCTGGCTCAAAGTTGCAAAAATCACTACCTAATCTAATAACATTTAATTCAAACTCCACTATACTTTCTCTGCATGCTCCTTAGTTTAATTTGTACTCATTATATGCCCTCTCAAGAATCAATGGAAGTGTGTAACTTGTCTCAAGGAAAACACAAATAGGGGTGTATTTAGAGGGTTTCTTGGTTCACGTGAAATCATGCCTTCCGTCCCACATCATTTATAGTAATGTAATTTTTTTAAATACTCATATATATATATATATATATATATATATATATATATATAAGCATTCCCAATCTGAAAGAGTTCTATTGTGAAATGACTATTTAGTGCACCTATTACAAGAAATCGAGGTTTTAAATTCCATGTTTGTCTTGTTTGTGTTTTCTTTCATCTTCTATAATTGAAATCGTGGTGTTATGTATTCTTCGTAAGAACATAAATATTAAACTCGTCCAATATAAATATTGAACTCGCGAAATCCGAATACCCATTCCGCTATGAGTTCAACCATACAAATATTATCCAATTCCGATATCAAATGGACCTTCAAATCTAAATTTCTCGCTTTTTGAAGATTTTAGAAAAATCTGACTTTTCTTCCATAAATTCACGGATTCATGATATAAACGAGTATGGAATCATGAAATATAATCAATATAGGATAAGGAACACTTACCCCAATGTTTCCCGTGAAAAACGCCCAAAACTTCGCCTTAACCGAGCTCAAAACGACCAAAATGTGAAAATAGTATCCGACTCTTTGATATATACACTGCCCAGGCATTTCCGCACCTGTGGTGCCTGGGCTTGCATATGCGAGCTCGCATCTGCGAGAAAAATCTCGCATCTGTGAAATGAGGATGCCAGGTGAGGCCTCGCACCTGCGGTGGAAAAATGCGCACCTGCGCTGACCTGTGCTTCTGCGATTATTGTGTCCGCTTTTGCCGACGCGCGGGTGTGTGCAGGTTTTCGCACCTGCGGACTTTTGCCCAGCCACGCACGGGCACATCTGCGATCGAAGGCTCACTTCTGCGAGCTCGCACCTGCGGTCAAAAATCCGCAGGTGCGATTACACTAGAAGGCCAAATTTTAGATTTTTGCTTAAGTCCAATTCTTGTTCCGATTTCGATTCGAATCACACTCGAGGTACTCGGGACCCCGTTCAAATATACGAACAAGTCCCGTAACTTAATACGGCCTTACTCGGGGTCTAAAATCACGTCAAATAATATCAAAATTGCAATTCACACCTCGGTACGATCTTTGAGTTTTAAACTTTTCAATTTGCAAATTTCGTGCCAAAACATATTAAATGAATCCGGAATGACTTCAAATTTGGCATACAAGTCATAAATGACATAACAAAGCTATTTAATTTTCAGAATCGGATTCCGGCTCCGATATCAAAAAGTCAACACCGTGGTCAAACTTGAAAATCTTTAGCCTTTAAATTACTAGTTTCCGTTAAATGGTCATAACTTGAGCTAGGGACCTCCGAATTAAATTTCGGGCATACGCTCAAGTCCCAAATCATGATACGGAGCTACCGAACTATCAAAATAATGATCCGAGTCTGTTTGCTAATAATATTAATCAAAGTTAACTCAGTTGAGTTTTAACTCTCTATTTCACATTTTAATCCATTTTTCACATAAAAACTTTTTGAAAAATTTTACGGACTGCGCATGCAAGTCGAGGAATGATAAGTAGTGCTTTTCGAGGTCTTAGAACACAAAATTACTTATTAAATTTAAAGATGACATTTTGGTCATCACATTCTCCACCTCTAAAACGAACGTTCGTCTTCGAACGGAGTTAGAAAAAGTACCTGAGCTGGTGAATAAGTGTGGATATTTACTCTGCATGTCCGACTTGGACTCCCAGGTAGATGCCTCTACCAGCTAACCTCTTCATTGCACTCGAACTGAAGGATAACTCTTAGACCTCAATTGTCGGACCTGCCGGGCTAGAATAGCAACCGGATCCCCCTCGTAAGTCAAATCTTTGTCCAATTGGACTGAGCTGAAATCTAACACATGAGACGGATCACCATGATATTTCCGGAGCATAGACACATGGAGCACCGGATGAACCGCTGATAAACTAGGTGGTAATGCAAGCTTGTAGGCTACTTCACCTACCCTTTCAAGAATTTCAAAGGGTCCGATATACCTAGGGCTCAACTTGCCCTTCTTTCCGAACCTCATTACACCTTTCATAGGTGAAACCCGGAGCAATATTCTTTCTCCAACCATGAATGCAATATCACGAACTTTACGGTCGGCATAACTCTTTTGCCTAGACTGAGCTGTGCGAAGTCGATCCTGAATAATCTTGACCTTATCCAAGGCATCCTGTACCAAATCAGTACCCAACAACCGAGCCTCTCCCGGTTCAAACCAACCAACTGGCGATCGGCATCACTTTCCGTGTAATGCCTCATATGGAGCCATCTGAATGCTCGACTGGTAGTTATTATTATAAGCAAACTCCGCAAGTGGCAAGAAATGATCCCAAGAACCTCCAAAGTCTATAACACAAGCATGCTCTGACTGTGTCTGTGGATGAAATGTTGTACTCAACTCCACCCGCATGCCTAACTCACGCTGTACAGCCCTCCAAAAATGTGAGGTAAACTGCGTACCTCGATCTGAAATAATAGATACGGGCACACCGTGAAGGCGGAAAATCTCGCGAATGTAAATTTTAGCTAACCTTTCTGAAGAATAGGTAACTATCACTGGAATGAAATATGCTGACCTGGTCAACCTGTCCATAATGACCCAAACTGCATCAAATTTTCTCTGAGTCCATAGGAGCCCAACAACAAAATCCATAGTGATATGCTCCCACTTCCACTCAAGAATTTCTAACTTCTGAAGCAAACCACCAGGTCTCTGATACTCGTACTTAACTTTCTGACAATTCAGATACCGAGCTACATAAGCAACTATATCCTTTTTCATTCTTCTCCACCAATAATGTTCCCACAAATCTTGATACATTTTGGCGGTACCTAGATGAATAGAGTACGTGGAACTGTGTGCATCTTCAAGAATTAATTCACGAAGCCCATCCACATTAGGCACACAAATATGACCCTGCATTCGTAGAACTCCATCTCTCCCCACATCAACCTGTTTAGCATCACCATGCCGTACCGTGTCCTTAAGGACAAGTAAATGAGGATCATAAACCTGCCTCTCTCTGATGCGCTCATATAAAGAAGACCGAGCGACTGTGCAAGCTAGAACCCGACTGGGTTCTGAAACATCTAACCTCACGAACTGATTAGCCAAAGTCTGAACATCTGCAGCTAATGGCCTCTCACCAACCGGAATATACGCAAGACTGCCCATACTCACAACCTTTCTACTCAAAGCATCAGCTACCACATTGGCCTTTTCGGGGTGATACAAAATGGTGATATCATAGTCTTTCAACAACTCCAACCATCTTCTCTACCTCAAATTAAGATCCTTTTGTTTGAAGAGATACTGAAGGCTACGATGATAAGTAAATACCTCACATGAGACACCGTAGAGATAATGCCTCCAAATCTTCAGCGCATGAACAATGGCTGCCAATTCTAAGTCATAAACAGGATAATTCTTCTAGTGAACTTTCAATTGCCGCGACGCATATGCAATCAACCTGCCATCTTGCATTAATACTGCACCAAGCCCAGTGTGAGATGCATCACAATATACTGTATACGATCCTGAACCTGTGGGTAATACCAACACTGACACCGTAGTCAGAGCGGTCTTGAGCTTCTAAAAGCTCAACTTATACTCGTCTGACCATCTGAATGGGACACCCTTCTGGATTAGTCTGGTCAATGTGCTTGCTATAGATGAAAACCCTTCCATGAACCGACGATAATAACCTG